AGTTTCTCAAGAACCGTTTGAGCCATAGAATTCGTTTTGGCATCGCTGGATAGAAAACTAAAAGCGCGATTTAGTCATAACAACATGAGTGAGTAAATTCGAGCAGTTTTGACACAGAAAGCGAAATTTGAATATGAGACACTTAGGTGCAAGATTGTGCCAAAATTTCATGTTTTCCGTCCCGCTTTTGCTCATTTCTCGTAAGCACAAAGAGCAAGAACGCTCATTTTTCCATCATTCTAGAGAGAGCTAAATGGCCTTTTAAGAAAGTGAATCACCGATAAGGAAGTGTTGGCAGTTTTCTCAAAAAGTCTTGATTTCAGGAGGGTTTAGAGGTGCGTGGGTGTTTTGAGATGCAAAATCGACTCAAACATGACGCTGCTTTTTTCGGAGTTTCTCAAGAACCGTTTGAGCCACAGAATTCGTTTTGGCATCGTTGGATAGAGAATTAAAAGCTCGATTTAGTCATCGCAACATGAGTGAGGAAATTCGAGCAGTTTTGACACAGAAAGCGAAATTTGAATATCAGACACTTAGGTGCAAGATTGTGCCAAAATTTCATGTTTTCCGTCCCGCTTTTGCTATTTCTCGTAAGCACAAAGAGCAAGAACGCTCATTTTTCCATCATTCTAGAGAGAACTAAATGGCCTTTTTAGAAAGTGAATCATCGATAAGGAAGTGTTGGCAGTTTTCTCAAAAAGTCTTGATTTCAGGAATGTTACCAGTTGCGTCGCTTTTTTGTGATGCAAAATCGACTCAAACATGACGCTGCTTTTTACGGAGTTTCTCAAGAACCGTTTGAGCCAGCCACAGAATTCGTTTTGGCATCGTTGGATAGAGAAAGAATGACCCCTCTGACCCCTTCCCTGGATCCTCCCTAGCTCAAGGAACATTATCGAGCAGACGATTTTTACAGAAAACAAAACAGTGATTTATTTGCACAAAAAAACAGCTCCAAAAGTCGAAAACCAACAGACCAACAAAATTCAAATTAATCAAGGGATTACAGTTGATTAACAAACGGAAGCGGAGGCGTACAAGTGACTGAAAACTGGATAACAAGATGATATTGTTCATGCGGAAGAAGCGAGCTCAAATCGTCCCAAAAAGCGGTTTTTTTCATTTCGAATTGAAATATTTCGTTACTTGATCTGTGCGGTTCTATTTAAACACTGGGATATTCTGCAATCTATTATTGCGTTATAAAGTTTTTGCCAGCTAAGTTTCCATATGCTACCTATATGTGAATGCTTTGAACAAATTATACCTTGAAAATTTGGAAAGTAAATTTTTCTTTCTCAAAAAATTAAATCAATTTTATTATTTTACTTTGTCAGTCATACATCAAGTCTTGATAAATGAACAAAGCATTATAATAAAAAATGTATCGAAACATTAAGCAATTAACAATTACTGTTTAAGTAAATACAACACAGAAGAATCAGATTACACAAGTTCTCTATTACATTATAGTAAACCATTTTTGTGCGTCGGTGATTGGTCAAATATTTCTTTGCGTTTTTTTTTGCGTTGTAAAAACTGACTTTTATAAGAGAATGCTTTTCAGGTGCTGCTGCCCAAAAAGATTTACAACTTGGTCGGACGGATTGCATTTGAAGAGATTGATCTGCAAATAATGAAGAAGTGGGAAGACTGGGCGAATATACGTATAATTGACTGCAAGTGAAAACGCAGGGAGGAACTGGAGAGGGAAGCAGTCAACACTTCAGACTTGTGAGGCAACAAACCGTCCATTTTCGGCATTGTGGGCAAAACCCACATGTTGTAGTTGCCAAATTTAAAATGGCAAAAAGCGGACGATACAAGATTGTTGGCACAAGGCGAAATTGGTGAGGCAAATTAGAGACTTACCTTGATACTGTCGTAGCACGCTGTAACTCGTCCGTTCTGTACTTCGACATTGGCTGGTGGATGTGCGAATTTGCACTCTGTGTCCGGTCTGGAACACTTTTGCCTCTGGAACTCTCTGCAGACCTCCAGTTGGAGCCAGCGCGAATCTTTGCCATTCAGCAGGTTCACCATTGCCATCGTGCGGTGCGAGCGGATCTGCTCCGGTGACGAAGTTGAGACGAAGAGTTAGAAATTGAAAAAACGCGCGAAAATTGCAACGCGGTACGAAAACGGGCGACACTGACTTTTCCTGGATGCGAAAAACAACGGAACGTCACAACAGTTCGAAAAATCTAGGTGGAATTATTGTCCATTGCGAGTAACAACTACGTTTCAGGATTTGGACTTAGTTTAAACTCTTCGCTAAACGAAACTCTGGCACAACACAATGTACGTTGAAGAGGACTATACGAAATCGCACAAGCGGGTAGGCGAAAAAGCGAAGCGATTGTCGACTTTACGGAAAAGGAGGAGGTTCTAGCGCATGTTATTTATCCGGATGCTTTTTTCGGTTGAAGCGTCGTAGATGCTGATGGTCTATCTGCAAAGCAAAAGCAACGGGTTAGAGCATCAAGTCAATCCGTTCGGTACTACTTCGCGATTACTCAGACAACACTGCCGATCGGATTTGGATACAGCCGCGCGATGCTGTGCGATCGGGCAGTGTTGTCAGACTAATCGGAAACTCCTTAAAAACTACACTTTTCAACAATAATCATATAACCAGTTACAAAGTCCCCCAGTACAGCCACAACGGGATCTTTGCCTGCCAGAAGCAGGTTGCCATATTTTATATAAAATTTAATATAAACGTTGCAAGCGCACCCCACTGATTAACTCGAAAATTGCCCTTAAGTAGTGACTGATCGCCCACTGATCCCAGAAACCAAACAATTGTAAAACACTTTGTACACGTAAAAAAACGTAAATTTCGTATTTTTCAGTCTCAAGTCTTAAGTTCAAGTCACCTGGTTAAACTGATTAGTTTGATATTGTGCCAACCCTTCAGGTTCAATATTGGACAACTTTTACAAGTTGCACACCATGTTCCTTCTAACACGACAGTGAATTTTATGCAAAACTCTTTTAGAAACGTCATCTAAAACAGATTCAAACCTGAAAAACCTAGAGAACTTTGGAAAGTTTATGAAGATTTTGACACACAATCAGCGGCTCCAGGTAGGAAGACAAAAAACGTGAAACTGAACAAACAAAATATAGTTTCAACTGATACAAAATAAAATATAATAAAACACTGCAAACAAATATCCTCAAATGAAAGAACAATGCGGACAAACCGATGGACACTTGAAAATCAATTTTTGAGGGCGCTGATTTGTAGGTTGTGGACTTTGATAAACTCGATTTTGAGGGCTTTTTCTCCTAAAAACAACCAGGAATGTTTTCAAAAAATAAGCGAAAACATCCAGTAAAACAGAGCCAACCCTGAAAGAAACCAAATGCTGTAAAGAATGTGAATGAAAAAAATTGAGCTTGTCTGAAAAACGGCGTTCTGTAGCATCGGCAAGATCAAAATGAAAAATTGCATAAAATAACGAAATAAAACCCAAAAACTTGAAGACATGCTCGAACATGTTAAAACAACCGAACGAAAATCATCAACCATCGGACAGAAAACGACTGATAACAACCGCGCCTTGATAAAAAGGAAACCTTCGACACTAGAATGCGCCTGCCATATTTGCAGACTTAGCACCCTCAGAATTGTATTTTATGACCATAGAAAACCGGTTGTAGCAGCCAACAGTCTTGAACAGTTAAAATGTTTCAAAACCTTTGAGGAATTTAGTGGCTTTTCCTGTCTGAAGGCAAGTGAGCATAAACCTAATCAAAATTCCTGTGAATGTTTTCCATGGATTTTCCAGTAAAACTTCGGCGAAAACCCGAATTAAACAAACATTAATTGATATGGTTATCAAAACCCCACTTGAGTAAATGGTGGAACATTTCGCGTATTTATCATTGCACTGCACCTGGGTCTAATGAAAAATAATGAACCACACATTTAAAACAATACGAAGAGGCTCATTCATTCATATTTCATGCCGCTTCACAAATAGAAACCCGTAGGCCGCAGTCCGGAGAGCCATTATGTTAATTCGGACGAAGAATTGTTTATTTGACGATCGGTTTTTCTGAAACAATGGCATTTGCTGCCCGGATAAATCAGTTATTTCCCATGGCCTGATGGCTGCACTTTCCCATCGTCAACCCTTTGCCGGGTGAAATGTGAAAATTTATACGAAAAACTCGAACGAAATTATGCGACAGTTCCTCAACCCCTTCATCGGACAATTCCAGCATCTTATGCATTATTGAAAAATCCAAAGGGGACTTTGGGCCCCTTTCATAGAATCGCATATTCATACATCGATGACCGGTCCAGATCGGCCAGATGGACTTAACCCTTTCGCGCGTCTTCGCCCTTGAAAGACCACCTGTGTATAATTAAAAGACCCGACAAACAACCGAATTAATCGCCTCAAACATGCTGTTGGACAACGCTCGATTATGTACACAGAAAAAAACTACACACGCAACTGCTACCGCCTTCACATCCACAATTTTGTATTATGTAAATCTTGACAATACATTATTTCGCCATTAGCTGCGCTATCTAGAGCCGGTAATCCCTCCCGACCTAGCCCCTATTGCTTTCAAATTGATCATGTTCGGCATTCGTTGCCCAATAAATCAATGAGTCGTAAAACCTGGTGACGCTTCGTCTATTTAAGGAACCATTTTTTTACTTTTCGCTCGGTTAATGACTTTTGGTTGCGTGGAATGTTGCCTTATAAAATCGTTGTTGCTGTTGAGTTCATAGAATTGGTTAATTTGAGGCGGATCTGGCACCTTTGAGTAGAACGGACAGGAATCGCCCTACTGGATTTACGAGATTGACACGTCCTAGAGGAACTGGGGCAAAATCAATCATCTCCTGGGGCTGGAGAGGTTGATGTTGACCCCAAAGATGCAGATGCGTTTAGTCCCTTGAACGCACTGGCGCGGAACTCAAGCAGGAGGAGTAAAGGAAAGAAAATTCATGCAGCACTGGCCTAGACTTTTTTTCGTGAGTAGTAAGCTCAGGAAACACACGATCAGACGCCCGTTAGAACCTCATCGAGACGGATGAACAATGCTGGATTTCATTAAACAACAACCAAACAAATCGCTTGTTTTCGTTGATTTCCCTTCCCGTTGATAAAACGCTCTCTGTTGAAACTCAGACTAGAAAAATGCACAATTGCACCTCCTTTAGCTGCCCACCACATGAAAATCGTTATCACACTGCACCCAAATGGGTACCAGACAATGATAAATGCAGGTACGCCAATGGGGCCTCAGACGAGCGGAGGAGGTGAGTACAGGTCGTAGTCAAGTGGGCAGTGAATGCCATCGGGGCAAACAACCTTAAACTTTAAAACTGAATCGCCTGCAGAACAATAAAACTGGAATACAGTGTGACAAATGGCCATTTTGACTTTCCACTTTGAAACCTTGTCGCTGGTTCTTCGCGGCCGACAAATTGCCGGCCGCTCCGAACTTTGCGGAATTTATTAATTTTCCTTGCTAATGAAAATTTTTCAGACTACTTAAGGAACATCTGGTTGAGGTCGCCCGTGTGGCCAACAGGATTTACATAACGATCGTGCAATACAGCGAAATTGCCTCAGCGCGCTAATTAGACTACTACTTAGCCAATTATCTCTATAACATATTAGGGATTCAATTTTATCTTAATTAGCTAATAAGAGCGAACATGCGACTGGAACGCGTAACTGGCATCCGACGAATGCGATCGCACTATATTAGTCAATTCACTGGTTACAGGCATTACCTGCATACCTAACATTGCTGAAAAGTGATCATGATATTCGTCACATTCGAACTGCTGGCATCAAAGCATTTTTCCTGCACTAAACATTCCTGTCCAATTAGGAAGAAAGCAGTTTTTCGCAAAAAAATTAAAATCGCATCATTGCAGGATGGGAAAAATTGATAGCGGATGAACTTTTCGAATCGGTGCCCTGAGTGGGTTTCGCCTGCAAAATTCCATTAGGCTGGCATGCAATGAAACCAACACCGCACAAAAATGCAATAAAACCGTAACGAACCGGGCCTGGTGCAGCCGATGCATATTTATAAAGTGCAAGCCGCCCAGCAACAAGACACCTCCTGTCCAAGAGAGCATTTCTGCAATTCATGTGCTTGAGCCGCCCTGTTCCCCATCTATCTTCGATGGCGAAAATACCATCAAACATTTTCTAATTAAGATTCCGGTGGAAAATGGCCTGCAGGTCAGCTCCGAGCTGGAACGTCTGGCATATCTCCAACCAGCAGGTATGCAAACGAATCTACGTCTTCGTTAACCTGCAGGTCAATTCCGGGTGACCGCATAAATGCCTGACATAATCGTTCGGGGCAAATTCCTGCTTTTATTGGTGATAAAGTGCCCGTGGGTGGGCTGCAACCAACACTTGCTCTTTTGGGTGAGCATTAAATCACTTGTGCAGCCCACACTTTCCGTAATTTTTTTGCGGTTCGTACCATTCAAATCGTCTTCCCTGCCCACCGAACGCTCGCTGTTTCATCTATCATGGCCAGTAAACAGGCCAGAAACAGGTGTCCAGAACTAGAAAGCTCCAAATTAAACGGCATGAAAAATTGCTAAACAATACCTCCTCCACATCAAGTCCGGCAGTCAAACCCATGCACTAGCTGGCTTAAGAAATGGGATTTTAATGAAAGTTATCCAAGATTAAATTGGTTGGTCAACGAGGTCCTGTGAAAGGCGGTTCAAAACATGTTTTACATCTTTGTTTCAGATTTTTTATTCCTTCATTTTGAACCATTCTCGTATGCCAACGTCTTCATTTTTCAATCCCTTATTCACATTTCCGTAACCCAATGATCATTTTGTGTATATCAAGCCGCGTCAAAAATTATTCCAAATCTGGCGGTATTCTCGATACCGAAACTCGTTTGATGGGCCCACATAGTAATTATGACTAAACAGCAAGTGTAAATTGTCTTGTCATTAGATTAATATTGTCGCTTTATGGTAGGGACCTTGCAGAAGACGGCAGGGGTCCAATTAGTTCCCATGGGGCTACGGCTGGAACATTTGGTAGGTCTTTTAAATGTTATTAGTTGCAAATGAACATCTAAAAATCCTGCGTCAGTTGCATAAAAAGTAATTATGAAGTAAAAAGTATTTATGGAAATATTCCCTGTTTTGGATGTGAAACAATAAAAAAAACTCTTCTCCAAAGGAGAAAGGAAGGACTTCGTAGAGAAAAAGAGTACCGCTTTCATTTATGCTCGTGGTCCAATACTAACTATGTAAAAACAATGGCAAGCCTGATTCGATTGTGTCTAGCAATAATTTGATTATTTTTTTGGGTTTCCCTGAAAGCTAAAAAGTCAGAGAAGTGCTTACTGATTTTTTTACAAAAAACCGGTTCACAATTAATCTAATTTAATTGACTGAAGCAAAGAATTGTAAATTTGTCTTCTTTTACTAGGGGCTTCAAGACTTTCGTCTTTTACATGGACATCTTACTTTGATTCTTCACCTTGCGATCAATTTTGATATCAAAATTTCTGATATCGACCTTGCGTTATTCTATTC